AAACAGAAATTCACTGAAACTAATTTATTACACATTAGTGTATCCATATCTTATTTATGGCAACTTGATTTGGGGTAATACCTACAAAACCCGAATTCAAAAAATATTGAATATTCAAAAAAAAATTGTGCGTTTGATAACTTTTAGATCTTACTCGGAACATACAGAACCTATATTCAAAGAATTATGCATTTTAGATATTTTCAAAATAAATGATTACCTAACTGCTTTGTTTATGTATCGATACTATTATCTTAAAAATTTACCAGAAGCATTTGAAAATTATTTTATAACAAACAATGAAATTCATAACTACAATACAAGAAATGCAACAAAACTACACAAGTGTTGTAAAAGAACTAATTATGTCATACACACTCTTTCTAACAAAGGGGTTAATCTATGGAATACATTAGATACAAAATTCAAAAGATTAAACTCTTACAATGTCTACAAAAGATTAATCAAACAACATGTTATAGTGAGCTAGATCTTCTTCAACTTATATGCAATGACCACAGATATACAGCAACCGTTAATTCTATAGCGAAAATTGTGTAATCTTGTAACTGTATATTATGATATAATATCCTTCTTTTGTAAATAGTATATACTTTTAGGTCTTACTTCAATAATTACTCTTCACTGTAAATATATAAATATGCAATTTTTTTTTAAACCTAACTAGTGGCCTACATTAAAAAGCCTGAAAAGGTTTCCAGTAGGTCTCTAGCCCAACACCTTCAAACTACACATAGTATTTGTTACTTATTATTGTACATACACATGGGAAATAAATATATATTGATTGAAAAAAAAAAAAAAAGGACTGGGGAGTCCCTAAGGGACTGGGGGGTACTATGAAAATTGAAACTTCAAAAGGCTAATTTTAGGTGGACACCCCCGATTCTGTGCACAGATACACTTGACCCCCATTGCGAATCATATCATGACACACACCTACTATAATCGACTGCTTGTTCTACGTTATATATTTGAAAACTAACCGCCACAATTTTGCATTATTGAATATTTTATGGGTTACAAGGCAGTGTTCTTTGCTGAAGCTAGCACGTTTAACTCCGGCAGGGGCATATGAAGTTTGTTAAACTATGGAGCTAGAGTCTATGTGCAGTGCATTATTTTTCCTGCATCTTGTTTCGACATGTTGAAAAATAGTGCCCACCCCAAAGTTTTCACAGCCCCCCCCCCCTACTTTACGATCGGTCCTAAAGATAAGCATTTCATATCAATAAATAACCGAATGGGTACTAGGCTCTCACTACTACTGAACAAGTCTTCGTAGAATTTCGACGTTTCGAGCAATGGCCTGAATGACCTAGTCTGGATGAATGGCCTTCGGCTTTGCTGTAGAAACATCCTAATTCTCCTTAGGCCTATATATTTACAGGTAGTTAAACCTCTACAAACAAAAGCTTGTTCATCTGATTGGCACAACCTACACTGGCAAAGACAGTTCTCGCTACTACTACATATACATGTATTCAGTGGTAGTAGATATATTTGCTACATCTGCATTGATATATTTAATAATACATATGCCTTATATGTATGGTATTGCTAAAATTCCTTGATCAATCTATATTATATAAATTCACGTATTAATTCGTAAAAACGTTACCTAATTACTTAAAAGTCATACACTTGTAGAACTTACCGATTTCACCGACTTCTAATCTCTGAGAACATTTACTGACACAAGATACAATAATACAATATTTTGTTTTGAAAATATGTTGCCACCACAAAACGTGGGTGTGTTTAAAAATTACACTTCCGTTTGCACCATTTCCGCTTTGATTTCAAAATGAATTAAATTAAGCGCGAAAGGCTGCTAGCAAAAAATCATTAAATTTTTAGCAATTCGCAGCAAGCCTTTCCCGCTCGTGATAATTCGACTTTTCCGCTTTGTTCGGGGGCAGCCTTAATTGAAATAGCTGTATATAACACGTCTCAAACCAAAGTTTGATCAAACAAACATGCAAGTTTATATAAACATGCAGAAAAATGAAAAAAATAACGCAAAATAATATGCAAAATGCAAAAATAAACATTGCATGCGCAATTTGAATTGATTTTGATATTTGGATTCTTGGGGACTCTGTACATTATTTATGTTTTCCCGCCTTTTTGCTATTTCTCGATTCGAGACCATCTCACAGTCAAACTCACTTGAACTGCAAGCACAAAAAATGGATCTTTTTGTGCAAGAAAAACTACAAGAATGGAATCTTTCTTGCTTGACTGATGTATTGGAAGGTTAGTGTTTAGTTTCTGTCGATATTCAATCTTCATTGGCGAGTTTTGAGCGAAAAAAATACAACAAAGCCTCAGAAATTTGTGTCTTTTTACCGAATCCCGTTGCAAAAACAAACTAAAAAAAGCCGGATATATTTGTACGAGAAAACCTCAAGAAGTGGAATCTTGCATCATTAACTGATATATTGGAAGGTTTGTGTTTAGTTTCTGTCGATATTCAGTGAAAAATTACAACAATTAAATTCAGCCTTCAGGTGAATAAAGTCAAACGACAAAGCCAAGGCAAAGGCCCGGAAAATGTTCTTGTCGTTTTTAACGAGGTTAATCTTAATAATATACCGTACCCTGTTGGATGTTTTATAAAACGAATTAAAAATCCTCTCCTTTTAACAGAGAACCTTATTGATACAGAAGCATTTTTGTTATTGGACGAAACCAACTTGAAAGAAATGAATTTGGCAGTTGGACCACGAATAAAGCTACTAAAAAAATTGCAAGAACTTCAGGTACTTTGTCTTTGCAATTTTTGTATGAAAAAGTATATTTATTATTTGTTATTAACAATATCCATACAATTAAACTTGATAAGTTTAAGGTTATTACTTTTTGTAGGAATCACTGAGTTTTATAAAAGCTATGTAAACGCTCGAATAAGCATTGTATGTCTGATTTTGCAGACTTTATTGATTTTGTAAACGTTTTCCATTAGGTGAATTTGTTCGCACGATTGCGGAGTGAAAACTTAAACCAGCAATATAATTGGCTTGCGAAACAAATCGGCGCGAGAATGCAGAAAGCCATCCAACAAACGTTTGATTTCATCACTTTGCTTCTTGCATACCAGATGCGACATCAAGTGTTATCGTTTCAAGATAGTTCAGCTTTAGTTTAGCTCTTAATTTTAAGATTAATTTAATGATAATATAACACAATTAAACAAAAACTGCGAATATCAAGAGGCGTAAGCAGGGCCGCCGAGAGCTTGATGGGGGCCAGGGGCAAATTTTTTTCGCCCCCCCCATTTCAATTTTTTTTTCGGGAAAAAAAAATTTTCACACAGCAACAACCTCCCCCCCCCCCCATCGATAACTTTTTTGGGGAAATTGTTTCCGGACGAGTACGTTGTAATTGCTTTCCAGCGACTTCACCTCAATTCATACCAAATTTGGATAGTTTGCCCAAAAAACAAATATCTTGCCCTTTGCGCGGAAATTTTTCACCCAATAAAAATGACTGGGGCCCAAAACAAAATTCTAGGGGGGGGGGGGGCAGAACCTGGGGGCCCAGGGCAATTTGCCCCTCCAGCCCGGACAGGACCAGTATTCCTCAAATCCAATTTTTCTGGAGTGGTCAGCTGTGCGTGTATTGTTCTCTAATAGCAATACGCCATGCATGTCTTTTTCAGGGGGGGGGGGCAGGAGCAGACATCAAACTGTACAATATGCTTAAGCATGTTTGGAGGCATGTTCCCCTGAGTCTGAGAACATTTTGGATTACTAACCGACTCTGCTACACCCATTTTCTGCCTTCTAGGGCAAGTTTTCACCTGTTATTATATAAATTGTATGGGTTTGGGGTTACCCTGAGAACATTTTGCATTATTAGGGTCTCTATAACATCCATTTCCCACCTTCTAAGGCCAATTTTTACCTGTGATGGTTTTATCCCCCCAGGAAATGTTGGAATTTCAAGCATGAGCAATGCTAGTTTTTTGCATTCTGAGCGAACATTTTTACGATGCTTTTAATTAACAAGGTGGAATTTCATTGTCGACCAATCAGCGCTTTTGTTTAGAACGCGACATCAGACCAAATGGATTAGTCCGTTTAAAAGTCTTTCAAATCACGTTTGAGAGGTTTTACTTTTAAATATTTAAAAATACTTTTATCTTCATATTTTCGCATTAACTTATTAATATCCTGTGAAACAAGTAAACACGACAATTTTGGGACGGGACAAGTGGCATGCCATGCTTGCTGAACAGCGTGGCAGCAATATTATGTTATGCATGTATTTGTTTCTGCAATTTATCCCTTGTATGCATTTTTTCTGTTTATTGCTACACCAGGGTGGTCGCAATGTTTTGTGCATTTTATAGGGGGGGATTATTTTTTATGCAAATATGCTAGGGTCAAGGAGGTAATCTGTAGTCATACTGCTGTAGTCGTTCTTAAAAAATAAAAATGGTAATAGAACAAAAACACATTAGTTCAGGGAAGCAGACAATCTATGCTTCCAAAATCCAGGAATTAGCAATTCAAAAACTAAAGATTATAAATTTTGGGGAAGCATGCCCCAGAACCCCGTAGAAAATCTTTAAATCCTTGAAAGTCTTTAAATTTGAATTCAGGTGTTTAAGGTCTTTGAAAAGTCTTTGAATTGTGTGAAAAAGCGAAGAAAGTCTTTTTAGTGAGTATTTGTTTATACGATTTCCTAGCTACTAATTGTTCGCGTTTGGAAAGACTTTGAAACTAAGCAGAAAAAATCTTTGAATATTTTTGGTCTTGGAGACTAAGAACCCTGCCCAACACATGCCTACATCTGGCACTTGTACAAGCGGTATTGATATAACGTTACGCCACTGCCAGAGATTCTATATTTGATGATGGTAGAAGATAAACATGACTGGAGGGGCGTGTAAAGGGAAAGGTTGGTCATGACAAAATATATGTGAGCAGGGCCAACAATTGATTTTGTACCTGGAACGGGCGGAAGGTCAGCAAACAACAGGTAGCCCCTTCCCCCAATGTATGACCTCGCTAAATCTATATGCTGCAATCTATGAAGGATAAAGACTTTGATAAATGCTAAGCAGCAGAACTAATAAGTCCTGTGGTAGATTTATAGGATTGGACATGTGTAACTCCCTTGCACTTCTGTTGACCAACATCAAGAGGAATACAAAAACTAAATTAATTAATTTAGTACTCAAGTTTTTGCTCTTTCCAAGCATATCGACGAGGTAATGATAGGCTGATCTTCTGTATACGGTGATGTTCACTGTTAAGGTTTCAGAGATTTATCGCTGTCGAGACTTCCTTTACTTTTTGCAATATCCATATTACTCTTAATAGTCACTCGATTAGCACCTCAAAAGTTTTCATTATCTCTCAATACACGTATGTAAACGTTAATAAAAGATCTACTGCACCCGCAAGCATGCATCAACTCAGTAGAGAATTTTCCTGAGAAGTTATGCCCCACAAGGATAGGGCGAAGTTTCCTCTATAAAGGTGATGGAAGGTAGCCTGGGTGGCTGGGTTGAGGCACAGAACATTAACCAGAAGCCCACTTTCCACATAACAAAAAGCTGATTACACTTGCTTAATGATGTGGATTGCTTGGCCGCGCTCGTTTCAGATAGCTAAACAAGTACAATTCTGTGGTTGGGTTGGAGTGACCGGGTTGGGGTGGCTGGATTGTAACAGCAGTGTTCATGACAGCATGCTGCTAGTCAGTGCTAGATCTTGTTTTGTTCCTTAGAGCATCACTTTTTTTGCTGGAGTCAGATACAATTAATTATTATCATTCTATAGTGACATGCCACGATATACCTGTTACAAATGTAGCCAGCTTGTATCTGAGAATGCTCCAGGATTGATTTGGCACTTAAAGAATAGACATGCTCTTTTGGTTGGACGGATGTTTACGTGCCCTATAACCTGTGGCCAAAATGGTTGTATGCGAACATTTCGTTATTCAGCTGCCCTCATTAAGCATATTGAATCACAACATGGAGGAGATGTGATAGACGGTGATGACAATGGTGATCCAATAGATAATAATAATGAAGGTCTTGATTTTATACCAGATCTAGTCCCTGATGTTCCAGTCGAAGATCAACAACTACCTGAGCAAGCACAAGACGTTACAAAGTCAGCTGCAATTTTTCTGGCCAAGATGAAGGCATCAAGTAGCACTGTGCAGTCAACTGTTGACCAAGTTGTTTCCGAAACTTCAAATTTGTTTTCTAATGTAATTGGCACGTTGAAAGCAAAAACGGAGCAATTTTTACAAAGCCAAAATATTGACAAGGATGATATTGGTAGACAAAATCTGCTTCGTGACTTTGACCAACTTCAAAATCCATTCGAACAGTTAGAAACTGCCCACCAACAACAAAAATATTTTGTTCAGAGTGGTAATTATGTCAAGCCGCCCAAGATTCCCTTAGGTATTGCATACTATCCCCACAACAATCGAGACACTGGCCACGTGGATCAAGTTGCCAAGCATATAACTTTCCAATATGTTCCACTCCCTGACCTTTTAAAATGTGTTCTGGAAAGTAAGGGTTTCATGAGAGCAATTTTACTATATCATCCAAGTAACGATGGTGTGATGCGAGACTTTCATGATGGACTCTTTTGTAAAGAGCATGATTTTTTCGCAAATCAAAAGAACATTAGATTGCTGTTGTATGTAGATGAGTGTGAAATTGCAAACCCCCTCGGTTCCAAGGCCGGATTGCATAAAATAGGAGTGATATATTGTACCATACTGAATATTCCTCCCAGATTTCGTTCTTCCCTCTGCAATTGTTTTCTTGTTTCATTATACAATGCTGCAGATGTAAAGACGTATGGCTATGCCCCCATTTTGCGACCAGCTGTTGACGACATCAAATTACTTGAGCGAGAAGGTCTTCGCATTGTTTCAGATATTTTCGAAGGCACTGTACGTGTTAGCATCGCACAACTTACTGGCGATAACTTGGGTGTGAACGGAATCCTTGGATTCGTCGAAAGTTTTGTCAGCAATTGTTATTGTAGACATTGCAAAATGCATAGAGATGAGATGCACACTTGCTCAGTTGAACATCCTGACCAGCTTCGGAATGTGGATAATTATGAAGCGGACTTGCAGCTTAACAACCCAACTGCTACAGGTGTTAAGGTACCCTGTCTTTTAAACGAGGTTGATAACTTTCATATTACCAGCAATTATGCACCCGATATAATGCATGACTTGTTAGAAGGCGTGTGTGGTTTGGAAGTTCATCTTGTTTTGGGAAATTTAATTGGAGAAGGATTATTTGATCTTGACTTGGTAAACAGTAGAATCACTAGTTTTGACTATGCTACCACAGATTCCAGAAACAAACCATCGTAATTCCTTTCAGAAAGCTTCAAACCCCAGATGGCGCGTCAGGACAGACGGCATCGCAGATGTGGTGTCTTATTCGGTACCTGCCGCTCTTGATTGGTGACAAAGTACCTGAAGGACACCAACACTTCGAGCTTCTTCTTCTTCTGCTAGAGTGCATGGATTTTATCTTCTCTCCTGAAGTTACCACTGGAGAGACTATCTTCCTAAAGCATTTAATCAAAGATCACCATGATTATTTTTTGGAATTGTATCCAGATCGTCACCTAAAACCTAAGCACCACTTCATGACGCACTACCCTCAGCAAATGCGTTTGCTTGGTCCATTGTTACATTATTGGACCATGCGATTTGAGGCCAAACATCGTTTTTTTAAGCGGTTAGGCCATATTGTCTGCAACTACCGAAACATCCTAAAAACTTTGTGTTCCAGACAACAAATGTATCTTTGTTACAACATTATGAGTGGCAAAGACCTGGTAGAACGGGATGTTGAAATAGGTCCTGGATCATTAGAACTAGTTGCTTCATTGGAGGGAGCTGAGTTTTTGAGCAGAACATTAGAGATCCATTTATTCCAAGAGGTTTACGTTGCAAAATGGTGCATTATTCATGGTATCAAATACTGCAAAAACCTATTGGTTATAACTGGGAAGTCTGATGATGTTATGCCAATATTTCAGCAGATTGTTTATGTCATTGTCACAGAAAGCAATGCAGTTAAAGTAATTACAGAGAAATGGGATACAGTCCGATATGACAGGCACACTCATACATATGTTATTCGCCGGCCGGATGCAACTTCATGGTCTATGGTTTCTGTTGATAATCTATATGATTACTACCCTTGCCATGCATCAAAATCATACAACGAGGGTGACCAACACGGTTATGTTGTTCTGCGTCACAGAATTCATTAATTGTAGTATAAAGATTAATGCCCAGCATAACGTACGCAAAAGAGCCATATAGATAATAATATAGACATAAAATTTATTTAAGAAGTACTAACGTTTCGTCTTTAACATAAGACATCTTCAGAGTAAATGAATATAGTATGACAATAGTTTACAAATACGAATAAATTACTATTTACAATATCAACCAGGGTAATAGGAATTACCGCATTCGTATTACCCTGATTGATATTGTAAATAGTAATTTATTAAAATTATAACTTATTCTCATACTATATTAATTTATTCTGAAGATGTCTTAGGTTAAAGACGAAACGTTAGTACTTCTTAAATAAATTCTATGTCTATATTATTGTCTATATGGCTCTTTTGCGCACGTTATGCTCATTGCTGGGCATTAATCTTTATACTACGATTACGATTCCCGCCTGGTTCATCACTTGCAAGAATTCATTAACCCATTGATGGTACGGTATTTTGCAATCTGCATATTATATTAAAAATGATGACGAAATAATAAGCCGACGGATATCCCAACAACCATTGACCTTCCCTTATATATTTTTGCGAGGGTACCAGTGTAGGTAGAGACGTGAGAAGTAGTTGCGAAGCGTAGTTTGTTCAACTACCTCAAAAATAAGAATTTCAAAACAAGTCATTTGATGTTAATTCGAGCGAAGGCCCTTTGTCAACCCTGATTGCAGAGGTTCATATTTATCACACAGGACATTATAGAGATAGCAAAGGGAAAATAAAATGCGGCAATAAGATCCTCATTTTGCAATGACTGTATTTGTTTAATCGACTTTCTATATTGTCCAAGAATTCTCCTGCTGATATTAGTAGTCTGAGGCACAATTAGCCAGCCTAGAGTAAAATACGAAATTGGTATATATGGACACAGCGCTAAACAACAGATTGTACCATGCAGTTTCTGTGCAAGAAGTGAATCATTGCTAATTAGAATACGTTTGTTTTTTTACTTATTATTTTAGGCAGCCGAGAGCGAGGATATGGACTGTATTGTTTCTGCATCTACTTCCAAAAGTGCCGACAACCTGGAAGTGCCAATTATTACAAAAAGACCTCTAACTCCAAATCTCCAAGCACCTGGAAACAAAGCGGACAGTATTCAATATGTTAAGAAATCCAAGCACGACTTTGTAAGTGTAAATGATCAATTTGTTTTAATTAAGTATCTTCGGACTTCGCTAAATGGTCACCATTGTTCATACTGTGTTGCTTTCATTCCATTAAGAATGTCAGATCAATTATAGAAGGCCATACAGAAGGTCCTGCCATACTGACCGAACTGGATAGAGGTGAATTGAGCAGAAAAATGAGGATTAAAATGGTTCAGATACTTGTTGCTGACATAATTGAGAATTTCGGAGACAGGTTAATAAGTTGGGTTTTTTTGTCAATTCAAACCATTTTTTGAATTTCATATGTTCACTCATTAATTAGAGTCCGGGTTCTGTCACACAAGATTAGCTTGAATGGATGTCCAGTTCTGATGAACAGTTCACTAGCTTGAATGGATGTCCCACTGAGATGCATATTAATTAAACTCCGCCTGATGAGTAAAATGCTCAAAGTTTGATAAAAACAGTTAGAAAAGAAAACGACAAATGCCAAATTGCAAAAAAATTGGGGAATTATAAAAATGAAATTTTATGTCACTTACAGTAGACATACATGTAGTATTTTGTCGTTACCATAATTATTTCTACTTTTTTCCATCAATTAAGGTTGAAATGGATTTCAGAATTTTATATCCAGATGTAGCAGAGAACCTTTTTCTACGTATGGTACCGACTTTGGTGAAAAAGATTTTATCGTATGCCCATTTACAGGGGACAAAATGGTTGTCATACCTGAACATCAGAACAGAAAATTTAAAAACTGGTGAGTATTGCAATTATGATTACTTTTAATACAGTCGGGATGAAGTCAAACCAGGATTGTCATCATGTTTATATGAGACAGGTCCGAAAATCACAACATTTTCCAGGTATTTTCCTTCATTATTTTCTGCATTGCTTTAATTTGTGAGCATGTGTTGTTCTGAATAAAGCCAAACTCGCTTACAGCTGAGACGGTCTGAATATTTTATGTTTACATTCATCCAGGTCTGAATTCATGAAGTCAGTTGGTTCGGTCCTGCAGACGGAATGCCTTCTGACCGGTTTGAGTATTTTTTGTGCCGGTCTCATGTAAACATCTATTTTAAATGATGTTCCTGTCATGGGATTTTCTCAAAAAATCTGGACTGGGAAATGGGATTAGGGCCCCCTCCCCCTTGACGACCTTCTTATACAGTATGTAGATAAATCTGCATAATTATGCATCCTCAGCCTTTGTACAATCTGTATGCAGTTTTATCTCTAAACGAGCTGAATTGTTGTAATGTTTTGCACATGCAAACAATTTGTAACCTAATTTTCCTGCGGTATTATTTTACTATGTCTATTAAAATTATTTCATTCTTGAAAGGGGCAGTGCAGTGCAACCCAATTAGTTAATTCACTAGTATACATCTATAGTTCTTTCACTAGTACATGTCTTTATTTACGATTGGTGTTGTCGTGCAACTGTTAGTCAACAATTTAAATAGCAATTAAAATAAAATTGTCAAAAGGTATTAGATAATTTAAAGTTAAATGAAAAAATTCAACTTGTTTTAGATGAACAAAAGATGAACATTGCCATTAGCCTACTGCCTTGTATCCTTCCTACTGGAAGGAATGGGAAAAAAAAGATGCAGCATTGACGAAGCAATGAGATCTTTTTTGGATGTTAAACCCGTAAGTCAAACTAACTTCCAAATTATGCTGAAGGTTATTGTCTCCTGAAGTCACTCCCCTACATATATGGATGAAAAGGTCTAGCTGTTTACACTTGCTGTTATTTCTAGTCAGTTTCCTTCTTCTGATGGATATGAATGAGCGGATGAATTGTGAATGATCAAATAAATAAACTAACATGTTCTCAGGAATTCACAATTCGTGTACTCAAAATACGATAATTGCATTGGAAAACAAAAATTGAAAGTGTATAAACAGGGCCTCGATATATATGTCCGCTTGGCAATGCCGTCAGTCCAATAGGCATTGCATGGCCAGTATTCCCATAAAATAAAGCAATCTGTAGTTGCCAAATGAATATGATTCTTTGATCATTTATAGATTGGTACAAACATGCCCAAACTACTTGAGGAAGCCAGTCGATCTCCATTTATATTGGCTATTGGCGCTCGAGAAAGTCCCAATCAAGTTTTTGTGGTTGTCGATGGACAAGGCTTGGAGCAGCCCAGTCTTGTTAAAGCTGTTGATGTCTGCTTTAAACTTTTTTACATTCTAGATGTACATTACCCATGGCAGTGTGCTGTAACGTGGGAGTTCATTCAAAAAGTGCTGTATGGAATCGAGGACAAACTGAAAGGCAAGACTTCGCCAGCAGTTATTGCAATGAGGGCTGCCTTAAACAAATGATTATAATAGTTTATATTGAGACTAACTGGGAATAATGTTTTGTTCAGGACAGCAATATCCCTATATACAGTATTTATTTGTTCAATGTTAGATAAGACTATTATAAGTTACTATGGTTATAATACTAAAATTCAACTTGTTTTAGATGAACAAAAGATGAACATTGCCATTAGCCTACTGCCTTGTATCCTTCCTACTGGAAGGAATGGGGAAAAAAGATGCAGCATTGACGAAGCAATGAGATCTTTTTTGGATGTTAAACCCGTAAGTCAAACTAACTTCCAAATTATGCTGAAGGTTATTGTCTCCTGAAGTCACTCCCCTACATATATGGATGAAAAGGTCTAGCTGTTTACACTTGCTGTTATTTCTAGTCAGTTTCCTTCTTCTGATGGATATGAATGAGCAGATGAATTGTGAATGATCAAATAAATAAACTAACATGTTCTCAGGAATTCACAATTCGTATACTCAAAATACGATAATTGCATTCGAAAACAAAAATTGAAAGTGTATAAACAGGGCCTCGACATATATGTCCGCTTGGCAATGCCGTCAGTCCAATAGGCATTGCATGGCCAGTATTCCCTTAAAATAAAGCAATCTGTAGTTGCCAAATGAATATGATTCTTTGATCATTTATAGATTGGTACAAACATGCCCAAACTACTTGAGGAAGCCAGTCGATCTCCATTTATATTGGCTATTGGCGCTCGAGAAAGTCCCAATCAAGTTTTTGTGGTTGTCGATGGACAAGGCTTGGAGCAGCCCAGTCTTGTTAAAGCTGTTGATGTCTGCTTTAAACTTTTTTACATTCTAGATGTACATTACCCATGGCAGTGTGCTGTAACGTGGGAGTTCATTCAAAAAGTGCTGTATGGAATCGAGGACAAACTGAAAGGCAAGACTTCGCCAGCAGTTATTGCAATGAGGGCTGCCTTAAACAAATGATTATAATAGTTTATATTGAGACTAACTGGGAATAATGTTTTGTTCAGGACAGCAATATCCCTATATACAGTATTTATTTGTTCAATGTTAGATAAGACTATTATAAGTTACTATGGTTATAATACTAAAATTCAACTTGTTTTAGATGAACAAAAGATGAACATTGCCATTAGCCTACTGCCTTGTATCCTTCCTACTGGAAGGAATGGGGAAAAAAGATGCAGCATTGACGAAGCAATGAGATCTTTTTTGGATGTTAAACCCGTAAGTCAAACTAACTTCCAAATTATGCTGAAGGTTATTGTCTCCTGAAGTCACTCCCCTACATATATGGATGAAAAGGTCTAGCTGTTTACACTTGCTGTTATTTCTAGTCAGTTTCCTTCTTCTGATGGATATGAATGAGCAGATGAATTGTGAATGATCAAATAAATAAACTAACATGTTCTCAGGAATTCACAATTCGTATACTCAAAATACGATAATTGCATTCGAAAACAAAAATTGAAAGTGTATAAACAGGGCCTCGACATATATGTCCGCTTGGCAATGCCGTCAGTCCAATAGGCATTGCATGGCCAGTATTCCCTTAAAATAAAGCAATCTGTAGTTGCCAAATGAATATGATTCTTTGATCATTTATAGATTGGTACAAACATGCCCAAACTACTTGAGGAAGCCAGTCGATCTCCATTTATATTGGCTATTGGCGCTCGAGAAAGTCCCAATCAAGTTTTTGTGGTTGTCGATGGACAAGGCTTGGAGCAGCCCAGTCTTGTTAAAGCTGTTGATGTCTGCTTTAAACTTTTTTACATTCTAGATGTACATTACCCATGGCAGTGTGCTGTAACGTGGGAGTTCATTCAAAAAGTGCTGTATGGAATCGAGGACAAACTGAAAGGCAAGACCTCGCCAGCAGTTATTGCAATGAGAGCTGCCTTAAACAAATGATTATAATAGTTTATATTGAGACTAACTGGGAATAATGTTTTGTTCAGGACAGCAATATCCCTATATACAGTATTTATTTGTTCAATGTTAGATAAGACTATTATAAGTTACTATGGTTATAATACTTGCTTTACTGTAGCATGTATTAATTAAGCACCTATCAATATTAAACCCCAGAGAGGGGGGTCGGGCATTATGTGGGGCATTTTATTTTTTGAGCAAATTTTCAATCAAATGCCCCACTGTCGGGCAATAAATATTGGTAAAATACCCCCAAAATTTTGCAATAAATACTATATTAATAAAAGTCATTTTGGTTCAAATTGCCAGTCATTTTGGTTCAGTGCAATCTCGGGTCCAAAATGCTAATCAAAATCCTCAGGGTGGGGATGCAATTGATGATCAAATACCCCACATATGGCGACGCACATCCCCGCCTCTCTGGGGCTTAACATTGATAGGTGCATTACATGTAAATGATTAATATATAGTCGTTAGTGTTTGTCTGATGAATAAATTTTCGGTCAAATTTTCATGTAAACGTCGATTAAAAGGCAATGAGCGCATCTTTTACAGTAATTTGTCACAGATGTCATATCGTTGCCAAATTCGTTATTTTGCCAAAAATAAGTCAGCCGATCTTGTTAATTTTGTCCCTCAAGTACTCTCATCATCCTCATACTTGCCGGGAGCGCCTGCTTTGCAGACTAAATTAAATTCCTACCCTCTGATTCCTGCCAGAGGACCTTGTGCTGCATTATTTCGCAGTCATTCCTGGACAAGGTTTGAAAGTGTATACAGCTAATTCAAAAAAGGTTGTCCTGTGCAAACCTTGAACTCTAAAACTTAAACCATGAACTCTAATTAGCGTGTAAAGCATAATGGGAGCATAATTTAATCAATTTACAAGAACAATTCATTCACAAATAGCTGCAATATTCAACTACTATAGAGTATAGGCTTGAAACTTGTGCTCCCATTAAGCTTGCACGACCTTTTTTGAATTGGCTGTGTATATACTCACTTGGTGTACAAAACCGTAAAAAACAGCATTCTAATATCAATTCCACCAAGTGAAGACTGAAGTGCAAGAAACCATCATTAATATTTCATAATGCGCGGAGGCTGAAATTGTAACCAGGATTTTGAAATATCTTTTGACCAGGAAACCTGGTTGGAAGCATTTTAACATCGATCCTGGTCACTTTAACTACTTTACGTGTCAAACTGCAACCAATACGACCTGGTTAAATTTGACCAGGAATTTAGGTCAAAATACACAACCAGGATTTCCTGGTTAAATTAACCAGGATTACATCGATGGCATATTGATTCAAATCCTGGTTAAGATTTGACCACGTCCTGGTTAAATTTAACCAGGATGTTTTTAGAGTGTATATATATATCTATATATAGTTTTTCGTTTTACCTCAAAAAACCACAACAGCCTGTTTCATCCGTATAGGAATCATCAGGTGGACCACCTGATGATTCTTATACGGATGAAACAGACTGTTGTGGTTTTTTGAGGTAAAACGAAAAACTATATTACGCTCTATCTATATGGTATTGAGCACTGTTTGTGTTTCGTAAACCAAAATCTTAAGCTATATATATATATCTATATATATATCTATATATATATATATCTATCTATATATATCTATATATATCTATATATCTATATATATATCTATATATATCTATATATATATAAATAGGTTTTTGGAATCATGCCTGGTATATATCTGAATATAATTTTTTATTTACAAAATTTTAAAAAGACTTCTACAGGCAATAAAAAATTTTAAAATTTTGTCCCAACGTTTCGCCGGTTAAGGCTTCTTCAGGGGAATGTTATAACTAGATCAGGTCCGTTGAATATATACTACAAAGCTAGACTAAATTTAAATAAAAAGGGTGGAAAGTGGACAATAACGAGCTAAAATTTTAAATGTTGTTATTCAGGCGTATCATGCAGAATATATATTTTAAATGTCAATTGTTCTACCAATGCATCTGTTTATTACGTTCCCCGCTCTTTTCTTGATTTCAAACGCCTCAATGCACTTACGCTCATCATCATTGTTTATGTTGGAATGTAGGATTCTCCAAGTTATGATTGGCATGTCATCTTCGTTACTCCTGTGGGATTCAATAAAGTAAAGGCTTTAAACAACAATCTGGCTTAGCCATGGGCAACAACCTTGTACCTATACTTGCAATAATATACATGAATGAAATTGATCAGCAAATTACCACCATAACTAATGGCCTAGTTATATTGAAACGTTACATTGATGATTATTTTGCATTTATGTTATCAAGACAAATAACTGGAGATAGACTCCTGATGATTGCTAATAGCATAAATGAAGCCATTAAATTTACTATCGAATTACCAAACGAAGGGCAATTGCCATTTCTAGATACTATGGTTACATTCAACCCTGAAACGAATAACTTTTCCACCCAGCTGTACATAAAACCTATCCACAGCAATTGCATCATTCCATGGGACAGTCACGGATCCCTCGCATCTAAACGAGCTATTTTAATCAGCGAAATAAACCGTGCTGTTTCTCGTTCAACAGATGATAATAATCGAAAAGAATCCTTGCGTAAACTAACCCAAGTGTTTGCTAGAAATGGCTACCCCAAATCATTTTTTAGAGCCTCCATTCAACGTATATTACACAATCAACCGAGAATTAACGATCAGGAGAATTGCATTTATATGAAGCTACCCTATATTAACAAGGAGTTTAAACGATGCTCTCTTGCTGTAGTCCGTCGATCGGGACTAAATAATATCAAAATTCATTTTCTGAACGGGAAGTCGTCATCACAGAGGTTTGCCCCACGGAAAGAAACAATGAGTTGCCCTAATAATTGCGAGACTTGCAAATCGGGAAAAAAACCAAATCGTTGCCACAATAAGAGGGTTGTATACGAAATTGAATGCCTGCATTGCAATAAAGTCCATATTGGTAAAACTGGTAGGACAATTGGCACGCGCATTAAAGAACATTTGACCATGAATAAGCAAACCACGTACAAACATATTGAATCCCACAGGAGTAACGAAGATTACATGCCAACCATAACTTGGAGAAACCTACATTCCAACATAAACAATGATAATGAGCGTAAGTGCATTGAGGCGTTTAAAATCAAGAAAAGAGCGGGGAACGTAATAAACGGATGCATTGGTAGAACAATTGACATTTAAAATATATTTTCTGCGTGATATGCCTGAATAACAACATTTCAAATTTTAGCTCGTTATTGTCCACATTCCACCCTTTTTATTTAAATCTAGTCTAGCTTTGTAGTATATATTCAACAGACGTGATCTAGTTGTAACATTCCCCTGAAGAAGCCTTAACCGGCGAAACGTTGGGAAAAAATTTTAAAAATTTTTATTGCCTGTAGATGTCTTTTTAAATTTTTTTAAATTAAAAATTATAACCATACATATATATATACATATACATATACATATACATATACATATACATATACATATACATATACATATACATATACATATACATATACATATACATATACATATACATATATATACATATACATATACATATATATATATATATATATATATATATATATATATATATATATATATATATATATATATATATATATATATATATATATATATATTCAGTGAAGGTTTGAATGTTTGCGTCGCTACTCTGAGTTTCACGCTTTACGCGATCATCAGGCAACTGACAGATATTATTCAATATTCATAATAAATATAGATTATCATTTTATAACTTGATTAAGCAGGTATCTGGTTACATGTCTACATTTGGAAAACAAGTCAGAGCGTTTGTTC